TCAGTAGCTTGAAGAAAAACAACACTAAAAATCCTCCCCAACTTCCCCTTTACCCCTCCCTGTTGGCTGCGCCCATAAATCTTACGTCCCCAAGATTAATGTTGATAATCGACAATTGGAGACGTTTAAAACGACCCAGTTGTGAATCCAGCCGTGATTCTCCGTCCTCCACAGACCTCGATTCGATCCACGTACACAGTCCACAGGTCCCCCACCGGTCTAACCCGTTCCCGCCGATTCCCCCCTCTTCCCTCCTTATTTGCCGGTCCAGGGATCGAATCCAGATCAAAGAACACAGTCCACAGCGTCCACACGTTGTCCACAGATCGCACTGCTAACAACAACAGCTATTCTCCGCCCTCTATGACCCGTTCCCACCCATTCCTCCTCTTCCCCCCTCCCCCTTCCCTCTCAGCGGGGGGGGAGGAGAGGGCTCTTCACCATCACCGACGCCCGTCAAAAACGCACCTATCTCCGCCCAACATTTTCCCTTCATGCTCACGAAATCCAACAGATAGAAAGTGAGCGCAAAAACCAGACACAAAGGAGGCAGTCGCAGTCGCCTCTGCTTTTTTGTTTTTTCCTCCCATACAGTATTTTACTAGCATTACATTTCCGACGGTAATGGTTGGCTGTTTACTATCATTCGTTTCGACGGTAATGATTGGTAACGTATTCTGAACATCCCATTCCATCACAACGCAGACCGTGTCAGGCCCCCGCGATCCCCCCCCCCCCCCCCCCCCCCCCCCCCCCCCCCCCCCCCCCCCCCCCCCCCNCCCCCCCCCCCCCCCCCTCTCCCTCCTTTCGCCCCACCTCGTCGCATCCCCTTTTATTGCAATATTACTATTATCTAATCTGGTTCTGTCTATTTATTATTTCCTTTTCTGCTGTACTAATTAAGATTAGATATGCTTATCTGTCTCCATGTTTCTATTACATATTTATCACTGTATCATTATAATTACCCTCGAGCCCTTCTCGTTGTCCGCTTGGCGCGAGATTCCAGTTGAGAATACATACGATCCCTTCCCTCTCTTCAGTAATCGCCACCCAAAAGGAATTTCATCGGTGGAGATCCGCCCACCTCACGAGGTATAATCGATCAATCATAGCCGTTGCTGTGATTCCGACAAGCCCGTCCGTCACTCCCTTGCCCCCCCCTGCCGCCCCCTCCCCCTCCTCCCCTCCCGGGAGGCATCCTCCTCCTCTCGATACCACGCGTGGTCGTGCAGCACGCACATTAACTAGTCGGCGTAATTTCTCCTCTCCCAGGCGATGCATGACAGCGAGACGGGAAGACGGTCGATGACTGCACAGATCGAATAGATGGGGAGTGGATGGATGGATGGATGGATGGATGGATGGATGGATAATTAGAACGTTCTCCGGAAAATGACGAGTCCGCTTTAGTCTTGATGGCGAGGAAGACCAGTCATAGAACCGTAGATGATGGGCCAACGTTTGGACACCTTGCGGGAGTAAAACGGAGGAGAGAGTGCAATGAATCAATTCTGCACTCTGGACAGTCGGCGATTGAATGCGAAAAAGAGCTCCCGGCTTTTTCGCGTTACCGTCTTCTCTCAAATAGAAAGCACGGTCATCATCGCTGTATCTGGACCGAAAGTCGGCACAGATACCACCTGCACTAAGCGCGAAACAGACTGCGCAAGGAGCAAGCACCTGAGGCGCAGAGAACGACTTTCTAAAGCAAGCAAGTAAGCGCTCGAGGCGCAACGGAACGATCGCGGCGACTCGGCTCGCAGCAGAACGAAACGAAAGAACTCGGTCTACGGAAGGATAACACCCGCAACGACCTCGGCGGTAGAATTGCCTAGTCGCCTGTTACCTCAAAACTAATAAACAACGCACAAAGCGGTGTGTAGAAAGGCCCCTCTCCCGGGGAACGGGGGTAAGGAGGAGGGGAAAAATGCGCGGGGCGAGGAGAGTATCGAGTGCTCGCGTTACTACGATAAACCTAAGATTCAAAAGAGAACCAGTTCGCCTGAAGACACAGGACACCGTGAAGGAAAAACAATGTTGCGTTGCCTTAATTCTAAACACCAAGAGGAGAGGAGAAGAGAACACAGAAGAGGAAAAGAGAAGAGAAGAGAAGAAAGGAGAAGAGAGAAGAGGAGAGGGAGAGAAAACCATGCGGGGATGCAGTACAGGTTGAAACAAGCGGAAGACGAGCGGCAGACTATGTAGATAGATGGCACGTACTTTATTATAAAGATAACGAGTATGATCCTCAATCTCAAACACGGAAAGAGAATAGAAGAGCGGAGAAAAGAGGAAAGGGGGGAGAGAGAGAAAGATAGAACCATGGGATGCGGAAAAGGCGGAAGAGGAGCGGAAGACTGCGAAGATGCATGGCACGTACTTTGACGAAGACGAAAACCAATTTCGCCATCTTTGTCGAATATGTACACAAGTTACGGGTATGGATATGAGGGGTTAAGAGAACGATGATGTGATAACAGAGGATCGCCTGGAGTCAACGAGCAGAAGGTCAATCGTGAGTACTCGCGCAGTAAAGTTAGATTATATTGTATCATTCTTTTCTCCTCCTTTACTTCTGGGAAGTTGGAGCAATCAGCACCAATCTGGCTTCCTTTGCCATCTGGAATGTTCAGCCATCATCCGTCCTGTACATTGCCTCTCTTTCACGCCTCCACAGCCCTTCAACATCTACCTCTAGAAAACATAAGCACTACGCAGATTAGTTATCTCCGGAGTCTTGCCTTAGACACATACATCCAAGATGGTCGGGACAATACGCACTCTCTTTCCGGACTCTTGGCTTGGAAACATACATCCAAGCTGGTCGTGAGCATGATCTAAATAGCCCATTGGATGGAAGAGGGTAGGCTTGCTCGCCCACGCCATACAACGCCTTCGCTGTGGAACCTTTGTCCCATCAAACACATCCTCCAACACACACCATCCCACAAGAAACACACCACAAGGCCCCCAGTCTCACCTTCAGTATCCACCCTCTTCGACCTTCGCCGTTCCTATTGTCAACATTAAAAACACTCGAACGGACGGATCAGGCATCAACCAACAAACATCCACTGACCTCTCTCTCTCTCTCTCACACACACACACACACACACACACACACACACAAGCGCGCGCACGCACACACGCATGCACACAGACAAGCCGAGACAGGATGACCTCCAACTATTCAGCACTCTACCCTCGCTCTTCACTCCTTTTTTATTATAAAGACAACAGTAACCAGAGCTCAGGACGTCGTCGTCCTCTACCTTCTCCTCCACCTCCATCAGACCGTTTTACACCATCGGCCGTGACCGCTCAGCCAGCCGCCCGCCGATCTCTCAACCAGATTCTCTCTCTCTCTCTCTCTCTCTCTCTCTCTCTCTCTCTCTCTGTGTGTGTGTGTGTGTGTGTGTGTGTGTGTGTTGCTCCTCAGATTGATGAAATCATTGGTTAGATCCTCCGGACCTTCACGTACGTGGCAGCGCATCGATCAAACCCATGAATCAAAAAGATGGCGGCATACGAGCTCATGGATTGGCATATCAATCGAAAGAGCTGAAAATCACTTTTCAACAGTGATCACCCTCATTCTTCCCCCATAACTCGGCAGCACGAGCATTTATATTACCCCAACTTTGACCTGACTATTTGCCGTTACCACTTGCGTGACTCCTACTCCCATCGCCTTCTCCTAAGCGCACTGGCACGACCCAATCATGTACCTCGCCGCCCTCCCTGCCCTCCTCCCTCCTTCCCCTCTCCCACACCCCACTCTCCCTTTTCCCCTCCTCCCCCTAGCCC